ATTTAAATCCTGTGCTACAGAGCCTTCAGACCACTTTTAATTCTGAGGTTTCTGATGGTTTAGCTATATAGTGCTGCTGCAGGGTGTGGCCAGTTGGACCAAGTCTTAAGCTATGATGCACAGCCCTTGTTCTTCGATTAATGTGAGAGACCAAATTCCACACCCAAACAAATAAAAAGTTAAGATTATGTGTAATTTTAATCTTTACATTTGTAGATGGTAAACATGAAGATGAAAGATTCTGAACTGCAAGGTAGCCATTGTTTCAAAAAATTCAATTCTGAATACAATTTTGGTGTTGTCACTGTTACCAAATATTTTAACTCCGCCACATTTACAAATTATTTATTCTCTTCAAATTATGTTCTTTATCCTGTAGTCTGGTGACTGTATCCATGTCCCATCCTCACAACATATTTTCTGAACACATCTGTCTTAATATCACCTTCCCATCTCATTCTTGTTTCTTGTCTCCTTTGTTTAGCCCAACCTAACCTCAAAGATTTTACTAAACTAACGACACTACGTGATCTAAGATGGCTGTCTTCTGGGTTGTAGTGCCATGTAGTCTGGTAGAGCCCAGCTACTGCCCAGAAGGCAACCATCTTTGTTCTCATTGCCACGTGATCTGTATAAATGTTGAAGTAGGCCATGACTGCTTCTTCCTAGAGCCCTCGCATCTAATTGTTCATATAATCCTATGACCTGTCATCATATAATGTAGTAGATGATAAAATATTGTGAAGTAATGGGGGAAACACATGTTGAATATTGTGACAGATCCTACAATTGTTCTGACTTTGGTAAAACCAAACATTAAACAGTGATACAGTGATGTACTTTCTACCACATTACATTAATAAAGCTCAGCCAGAGAGACTTATGGGTAAGTGTGTGAGAGTGTGTTTGTACAGTATACATTTCAAATGTTTCTATGCAAAAATGTAATCTGCGTTTGATCTTATGGGTACCAGAACTTAAAATAGTTGGAAGGCACTATGAATTTAAATACTGAAATGCAAAAATGTAATCTGCGTTTGATCTCATAGGTACCAGAACTTAAAATAGTTTGAAGGCACTATGAATTTAAATACTGACCTGAAGGAGAATTTAAGTGGAAGGTCTTTGACAAAGAAATTGTTAAGCAATATTAGTTTAAATTTAGACTTAAATGTGCTAAAATTTTAAAATTGTGTAATGTAAGTGACGAATCTGTTGTGGTTTTATTAAGCTAAAATTTTATAAATACTATTCAGGATGTCAAAATCTTTTTTTTTAACTCTTCCAAATCCAAATTATTTGTCCTAATATGGGTTTCAGCACTGAATAAAATTGGGTGTGTTTTTCTCATGTAACTCCTGCAGAAATTTTGAAGTTGTAAATATAGTTCTGTTCACTGTGACTAATGTTTTAACAAAAGGTTCACTACTTAGGGATCAAATATAGGGAAACTGAGGTGGAAAAAACAACCCACTAAAGATTTTTCTTGAAAGCAATAAGCAAAAAGGAGACAAGAATTTAATCTCATACAACTTCACATATCTAACAAAATTCTTAGAATACATTTATTTTTATTTTTGTATTGAAATAGTTGAAATGTAAAACAAAGCAAACAGAGTGAACACATAAGAGATGATTGATGATTATAATATTACAGTTTACAAACTGATTAACCATGTACCTATATTTGACTCTACATCACAAGATTACATGAACTGCAGAAAGGTTACAAAGGTTCTTTTTCATATACATATATAATCTAGTAATGGTAATTAAATTACATATTGTGACATTAGTGGAAACTGAACATAATATTGTTTTTCATAACAAATTTAACAATAATTTCTCTCTTTGTCACCACATTCAGCATGGCTCTTTGTGACCCACCCTGCCTTCTACTCAATTAATCCATCCTTCTTTCCTTCCTTCATTGGGGATAAAGAATTCAGAGCATGAAGTTGACCACTTAACCTCATTCTGTTTCTGAAGTTAAGGATGAATTAAGCAATGCCTTAATATCTTATGTCCACCTTCATGGTATGGTACTTTGGCAAATAAGTAATTTTAACTATACTTTTACATATTTATAGGCAAGTTGAGACAGCTCAGCTACTAAAGCAACTAACAATGAACTAGACAAAAGCACAAAACTGACATTTGCCCTCGTTGGCACAGCCCCTCCTCACCCCCTTACACCTTCATGCCTTAATACTTAAGCACAGGGGCAGTGCCTTTTATCTTACCTGAAATTCTTATAAAGATGAGCCAGACTGTGGTGACAAAACTTTTGGCCCTAATATACAAGCATTTCCTCACATTTATTCAAAATATAAACAGTTTCAGAAATTTTTTTTTACGTGTTATGACAAGAAGGGAGGTCTTACATGGAACTGTCATACAACTCTGCATTCAGAGTCTTTAAACGTACACATTTATGTTTTGAGAAACGTGTTTGAATGGGGACATAGCTGCTGAGGGTAGCAGAGTGCTTTACGGGCACCCATTCCTCTGAATTAGACACTTACGGGCATGGGCCAGGAACGACAATAGCACACAGTAACTGGCAGTGTCAGCCGAGCAACATTCCAAAATATTTGGCCATTTTATTTGTCTCTTTATATTATTTATGTCACATATGTTTTGTTTCTGTTCCCATTTTATTTGTTTGTTTGTGTTTATAGCAACTGCTATGTATATATGATTTATTTTGTGAAAGTATTTTTACTTTGTGTTTATGTATACAAGATTTTATTCAATTGATTTCCCTTCATCACATATGTAACTTGTCCTATTTGTATGTTATTTTATGCTTTCATGAACCATTGTAATTCTGTCAGTAAAATGACTATCCTCAGACAGCTGTGGACTGTGGAGCTAGGTTTTGATTGCAGGCAGGGGCAGGGATAAGAATGGTGCTTGGGGTCCATTCATCCTCCCATGCGATGCATAGAGGAACCCAATTCCATGCAGCTGAAATCAATCAGATTGTCAAGTTCCATGAAATGTCAAGTGTTTTACCTCCATATCCCTTATATGTTTTTACACTTAGTCACAAGGGTTAACTTCACTACTCTTTCTGCAATATCTGTGTTTATAAGGATCACATTCCCATCTACCAAAATACTGTTATAGTCCATATACACACATGATGAGTTGAGTGTTGACAGTGAAATGCAAGGCCTGGCAAGTGTGCTGGAGACCGCTGATATGACGATATTCTGTTGTCTGTGTCTTGTGCTGCACCACTAACTGTGTCATTGCGTCCTGTTTTCACCCTACCAATAGCCCATTAGCCATGCTGATGGCACTGTTACACAGGTAATGTATAGCGAAGGACCTTAGTTAGCATGTAAATAAGCATAAGCAGTCGCACTTGCATCTGGCACTTATTGTTGTCTTGTGGTCTGGACAGATGAGCAGTGGATCTTTGTAATTTTACCTTATGATGTTAAATTTCACAAATACAAAAACAGTTAATGTTGATCTAATGCTTTAACAGGCATAATTATGTATTTATATTATAATATAATACCATTACATCCGCAGTGTATCTTGGTGCTGTAGTGTTATCTGCTGAAACTGTCCATTACAGGTGTAAAATTGTTAGTCTTTTATGCCATGCCAGCTTTGTTGTAATTGATGATACAGAATTCTCACTCTAGGAGATGGTGATGTAGCATTGAGATGTCATGTAAACAATTAAAGACAAGTTAGTATTGAAGGTTTTAAATAATCACATAACCTCATTATTTCATATGGAATCATTAAATAAATAATTTGTTATTTAGTGTCCATGTGCATATGTGTCTGTACTAATTACTTCTGGACTAATGGACAGATTTTCACTAAACTTGGTGTTAATATCATGCCATGAAAAGCTTTCCTCCCTTTGTGTACTTCACTTACTTTCTGTCATTAATACCAAAATTGTGACCATTCACACTGTAAAGGTGTAAGTGGCACTTAATGAAGGTATGTATATCAAAACTTTCTTTTTATTCTCTCAGACATACTCTACATATGTCCACTCAGACAGCATCTAAATTAGTAAAAAGAAATTTATAATCACAGAGGAAGGATACTGCAGTGATTAATAAAAAAATGAAAATCTAAATACCATATAACACTATTGTCATATATTCTGTTATCCTGTTATTTGAAACTGCTCATTTGGACAGATCACACAATATATAAATTATTAAATATAGAAGCTGATCATGACACATCTGTATGCAAACAATATGTCCACTTATGAAAAGAAAGAGTAATGATTCTTTAGGCATTCAGCTATCAACTGATGATCAAGTATTAATGATTTTTTCCTATGTTTATGTACACACAAATTGTTTGTTTTATTGTTTCATTGTTATGCTAATGTGTAAAGCAATCCAGAAGAGCTGGTAAGTGAAATATAACATAAAATTTTAATGCACCATTTGATATTTCTCTGATTCATAGATTCACAAAATTTTATTACAGTTCCTAGTGTATGTGTTATGTATATTTTATATGTCTCTTATACAATAATCCACTGATTTTATTCCAGCTAATTTATAATGGTCCTCAGACTTGTTACATTTGAACTGTAGCAGTGTCATGTGATGGTTTTGGAACTGCCAACTGCTGCTGTTGAGTTTGATAATTGGAATGTTTTGAGTTGTATTCTGTATGAAAAAGGTTGCTTATGCCATTACAGGAATTTGTAACTGCTTTTGTATCAAAAGAATTGCAAAAGAATGAAGTCATATTTAATAAAATTTCTTGAGTGATAACCGTTACTGATAAGAATATGAGCAAAAATTCTCTCCTCTTGCTCATGGCTACCACAAGAGATTGCCTACTTGCTTAGAGGTAGTACTGTTACTAGCAACGCTCAGAGCTGAACAAATTCGTGGAAAGCATGAAATCATATTCTACATTTGTTACATACAGGGTTATTCATAATTCCCTGACACATTACAAAAAATCGCTAGACTTGAATGGTGCAATGGATGGTTACATAGGACATGCCGATAGAAAGAGAAACTCTCCAAGTTTATTTTGCATACCTCATAAATGCTCTATGTGTCCGCCATTTGTGACGAAGCAGTTCAGGCAGGTCCCGTGGCACCATTCAAGTCTAGCGATTCTTTGTAATGTGTCAGGGATTTATGAATAACCCTGTATTAATTTTGAATTTTCTAGTGAAACATTACAGTGTCTGATGAGCAGAATTCTTATGTGACTAATGAATTAATAAATTATTTATTAACCTATGACATTGTTTTGGTTGTGTGTAATATCTAAATAAGTCAGTAGAATGACCATGTCATTCAGAATGATCAGAATAACTGGGATATTTGTACCTTCATCATACGTTCATATCTACTGAAGGAAAATACTTTCATTTCAAGTTTTTCCAATATTTGTGTGTCATAGTGAATGCTTTATATTTGTGTTTACAATACACCACATAAGGTTTCTTTATGCCCACATGTGTGAGACTTCTGAGTTTGCCTTATCTTACTAGCTTCTGTATAAGTACTTATAGATGTCTGTCACATGGTAGACGAGTGTGTACAGTTTATTGCTGACCATACAAATCTTGTTCAGAAAAATTATAAACTTACATAGGTACAGACTGGGACATCCAATAGCATGTCATCACTGAACTTACAGAGCATGGTTTTAACCATAAAAGCTACAGAATGGTGTTTTTTGACACTTTAGCCGAAATGTGCGTATGTGTACTATGTTATAGGATATTATTACCTCCTCTGGCTTCTTTATACAAGTGGAAACATGAAAAGGCTGTAGGCTCGTGAATTTATTTGCAGAAGTTTTGATTTGGTATTTATAAAAAGTGAAGTTTCATTAAAGGACAAGGTATTATCAAGCTTTTAGTTTATATGTGTTGCCACGAGTACACCGTGTGTGGTGTGTCTGAAACACAAATAGAAAGTATTCAAAGAAAACATGTGTAAAAAATTTTAATTGGCCCATGTTTTTAATTTCATGATACATTGGTAACATTTACACATTACCTTTTAAAATCCTGATCTTTCCAATAGAAAACTTACTTTACTCCTTAACACTTAGAAATCTATAAAATATTGTGTTACATTTGTTTGCTTTTTCAGATCACATGTGTCTAGTTTGCCAGATCACTTTCTGATAACAGAGAGTGTTCAGTTTTTCTTATGTTTATGTGTTTAGATTTTGTATTTAAAACAACTGAAAATGAATCACAACAATTCTGACTTTGAACAGATGGAGACTTTATTTCATGTTAATGTCTTCTCACTACTTTTGCATTAATACTATATTATACAAATTATTTATGTTATGCTTATTTGTGAAAATAAATAAATTTACTGAATTATTGTTCATTGACACTTTGTGATGAAATGTAGATATTAAATCATGTGTATGATACTGAAATGTTCTAGAGCATTCAGTTGTTGAATTTTTCACATTTTAATTAATTTTTCTTGTTGCCATTGGCCTTCTCACTCTTTGAGCTATGCATCCCATCAAGTTCTGGATGTCTTTCTCATTGCTGGTAAGGTCACTTACACAGTCTGCTGTAATTAACTTCTAGGCTACAGTCAGCAGAGTGCTTTTTCAGAGGCCAAAGGGTATGAAAATTAGAGGAAAATACTTCTAGGGGATAATACCTTAAATTAAGCCATTACAGCTTCCTTACATATCTTCATCACAGATTGTCAAAGACATTTACATATTTTTAATTATATATTATGTTTATTGTTGATATTGTGTCTTTCATATTTCTTGTGACATTTTAGTTAGATTTTTATAACAATCACATTCCATTTTCAATTAAACCAAATAATTCCAAGTTTTCTTTCCTGCTTACCACATTAAGTCATTTTACTCGATAGTAGTATCACCACTACCAACATGTAGCTTCATGCTCAGAACTTTTATTCGATAGGTATTTACATCTCGTGCAAGAAATTTTTATACTTTTCCTAAGGCTTTCCAAGCAAATGTTAGGTTAGGAGGTCTTGAAAATCTCCTTCCAAATCCATGCACTCATCACTCATGATCATGTTACCATTGCATTTGATACTGTGTCTGTAACATCATCATTACGTACTGCAAGAGTAAGGTATCCTCACTGGACGTGTTTCCTTGTTCAATTATTTTATAAAATGCAACTGTAGTTTGAATGTTATGTGTAATGCATCCAATAAAAGAATAGATTTTGGTGAATGACTATAAGTGATGAAATGTAAATGGCTATGTGTAGTCTGGTAGAAGTTTTTTTATGAATACTTTTCACAAGATGGAAGCAAAGCAAAAAAAGGGAAGGTTGTGTCCATCTGTCCATGTCTTTCATTTCTGAAGCTACTGAGCAGATTTCAATTGAATATTTTTCCAACTGAAGCTAAAATCCGGCCCATTGTAACTCATAGATTTCACTATTCTGACATGTTTTGTGACGTGTGAAACTGACGATTGTCATCAGTGTGTAATATCCTAAATTCATCATGTATTTAATCTGTCCTAGATCCTGGTAACAGTATTACTTCACAAGCCAATTCTGGTTTCTTCTATGTTCAGTCTCACAGGCTGACTAAACACAGACACACCTGACATATTCAGAAGGTCAAGATACAGAATATCTTGTTTTTTCATCAGTTACTCAAGGCAGATGCTGAGATACTATCTTGGAATAATTCATGTCCATTTCTTTTTCAGTTCTTAATAGCTGACCGTGTGTAATACACATGTCTCTCTGTCATTTGAATATAATTAACCTACTCATTTTATGTAGCATTATCACATAACCTAGAGAAAACATCATTTGCATTTTTGTATTCCTTATCTAACCTCCCATCTACCCATAACCTTTTCCCATGTATTTCTTCACTATTCTTTTGACAGGCAATAATTTATATTTTTGTACAATTAAAAAAATTGATAAATAATAAATAAATAATTAATAAACAGACCTGTGTTTGGATTTGATCAGTAATGGCAGAGATGGCCTCCAAACTGTCAAGGGCACTGTTTCCCAGAAGTTAATAATGTTCTGTCTTTACAGACAAGGCTACCAAATGTTCGGAGTGACTCTGTCATTCATAGCGACGCGCAGTGGGCTTCTGAGGTGGCAGGATCACGTCCAGCACACAGTCGGAGAAAGTGGGCAATCAGCACCGTGAGTAGTTTTTTCTTTTTAATTCTTCATAGACTGACTGACTTGAAACATTTGACAGACTCTGTATTGCTGTCACATAATATTTAAACTCTTTCCTTTTGCCCTTTCACAACCAATGTTTTTGTTGTTATTCCATGTGGCTGACTTGCTCCGTCATCTTTTTTCAAAAGATGGTGGTCACTCAGCTGGTCAAGAAAGCTTAAGGTTCATTACCATTTTTACAAAAGTGAACCATTGTGCTCTATCCTGAGCTATTTTTAATTCAGTCCACAGCTTGACACATTACTTCTCTAGGATTCATTTTAATATTATCCTCTTATTTACACATAGAATTATATACATTGACTACTGTTATGTGAAATACTGGGAAGCCTACCCACCGCAACTCAATGTCATCCAGCCTGGTAACAAGATTAATTTTGAGCAAAAATGATCAGTGATCACTTGCTGAGAAACTTAATTAAGACTTTCAGACAGCTACTGACACTGAAGTATAATATATGTGTTAACAGTAGTTCCTGTTCACTAGACTTTTTAAATATACATTTTTATTAAAACAAATTGCTGTAATATGTCGTCAGTAGTGCCCAATGCAAAAAGTTGACCTTGTGCTTGCAGACACTTTAGTGAGACAAACCTGCGAGCGATAGATGAAGTGTGGTACAAGAGGGCTGTGGACCAGTATGCTGTTGAGTCCAAGAGCTTCGTATACTCAGTGCCATTTGATGCCGCATCAAGCAGCAGGCCCTCAGTTACTGCCACGCACGCTGTGTTCGTGGAGCACAAGGGTCATCAGGCACCAGCAGCAGTGGTTGGACTCCAGTTCCAGCATGCCACACTCATGGCCCACTTCCTCAACATTACTTCCACAGTAAGTAACACATCAGCTGTTGTAAGTCAAGGTCTCTCTGAGATTTGAACAACACTAGCAAGCAGATCAGTGCAGTAATAACATTGTGAACTAGTTTATGGAAGATGCTAGGTTTGAATTTGAACTATACTAAGAGCATAATCCATTTAAATCTGGAATAATTAGACAATACTCAAGTGTCCTCTATGGAGACATATGTAAACAAACCATGAAAATGTCAGAGATAATCTTGGATGTCATTCCGTGTAGTCTTCTAGAGACTCACTGGTGTTTCAGGGGTACTTACTGCTTCCATCTTTATGGCAGAGGCATTAAGCATCACTGAAACATCAATCAGCTTCTATTAGGCTACACGATACGACATCCCAGAAGACAGTCAACTTTATAGTTGCTGCTGCCAGAACCCGAAATCTCAAAAAGCATAAATAAGTTCCCAGAGTCTTCTGTATTTCTCTGTAACTTTCATCTGAGGACAGAAACTGATACATTACCTGAAATTATGAAGTTTTATTTTCACAATACTGGATGATGGGCAAAATCCTGAATACAGTAATAATAACGACGATGAATTTTTGGTGTTGGTTATGCAGTCTTGTATTTATTTCTATGGATAAATCTTTTAACTGTTGGACTGTGTCTGTAATAAACTTTCATGTAGGCGAATAAGTGATGTAAAGTCAGGTAAGTACATTTGCAAAACATATGATCTCAGAAATGGAGTGTAACTTCTCCGCTGTTTAAATTATATTGACAATAACACAAGTAATTCCGCATTCAGTGTTCAGGCTGCAAGAAGACGTGCGCGTCCGAGGAACTGGATTGCTATGTGTTGGACAACAATGGATTCATCATCCTGTCAGAGACTGCATATCATACAGGAAAGTTCTTTGGCCAGATTGACGGAACCATCATGGACTCACTGGTCCAGGATCGCATTTACAAGAAAGTAGCTGTGTATGACTACCAGGGGGCCTGCCTCGACCAGAAATCTCCATATAGTGATGATGCCACTCGACTCTCTGTAAGTAGGGCATACTTTGAGTTGCCATAAGGGACCCAATATTAGCATGACTCTGATGCAATCAAAAACACTTACATGTTTACAGTGAGATTTCTTGATGTTATCTTGGCTTATTCCTAATCTTTCTTTTTTTCTATTTTCCTTCTTCTTTATATTCTACCTCCTTTCTTCTCATATTGCTTATCTTCTTCTTTGTCATTATCATATTTGCCTTTCTCTTATCCTTCTTTTGCTTTTCTCCATCCTCTTCTGCTTCTCTTCCCTTTTTTATTTCTCTTATTCCATTTCTTCTTAATCCTCCTGCTTATCTAGTTGTTATGTTTCTTTGTCTGCCTTCTACTTTCTCCTCTACCTGTTCTCTCTTTGGCTTTTTGTTCAACTTCCTTTTCTTCCTCCTTTCTCCTTCTTAAAGTTTCCATTAAAGTTCAAAGTCTGTGTTAAGCTGTAGGTACCTTTTGTAGATTGTTATTATCGTCTTGTTGTTGAGAATCATGTCCTATGGATGTTCCTGCCACTGAAGTTGATTCCTTCATTCTTGCCAAATGGATAAAGAACAGAAATGTCAAACGACAACGTAGAAGGCATCACATAAAATATCACTTTCATCATTGGAGTTTGTTATATTCCCAGGGGATTGCTCTACAGTCTTAAGATCCACACCTGACATTGCTCATTATGAGAACTGACTAGTAATGTTTGTTGTTAAATGTAGATTTTACAGCTGAAATTTGAAGGAAGAGCCAAATAAGACTTTTCATTTCGCTTCACATAAAGAACACCTGAAAACTTTAGTGACTGCCTTTACTTGACTGCTTTGGTTTTTATATACCAAACAACTGATACTGTTACAGCCATTGCAGCCATTCAGATGGCTCCTACATTGGGCATTCAGCCGCGCGGTGTGGCTTGCCATGCAACTAAACCTGTCCCCCAGCTGGGTTCTGGCCAATGATGACGGCAAGTATAGACACATTAAATTCTTCAGTGTTGCAATATGATAGTATGGCTGTGTGCATTGTGTCATGGTAGAAATGATTTGACCATGTGTTGAGCACGACTACATCCCAGCAGGTAGAAAATACAGAAAGGCAGCAATGCATACAGTAGATTTACATGTTATAATTAAATGCTTATGTCTTGTTATTGGGCATTAGTGGGTCACAGTTTTTTGCTCTGTCAGGTGCAGCAGTCTATTCGGATGACTATGAAACCAACAACTTTGATCAGTATTCAACACGAGATGACGGTCGGATACCAGACGGTGGTAGCACTTCAGAGACGCAGATGAAACAGCAGCCTTCTGCCAGCGCACCGACGTCAGCATCCGCGAACAACAGGACAGTGCCTCGGCCGTGTGACAAGCGTGTTGATCTGTACATCCTGCAGCCAGACCGCCTCAACACCAGCGGACAGTCAAACCCTCTCAAGGGCAAGCTGACAAACTGCCACATCACAGGGTGTGAGAGGTGGGTGCTTTGTGGTTGATGAATATATGTACTTGTTAGAGCACTGTTTATCTGAACTAAGATTCAGTGGGTTGTGTGGGAAGAACTATAGTGTTACATGCACAAATCCTATGTTTGAACCACGCAGATTGGCGTAGTGGCATTACTCCAGATTTATAATGGTGAGGCACCCATTTTGAACCTTGTCAGTGTTTCTGACCGTCCTGACTTAAGTTTTTTTGTAGTTTCCTGGAACAAATGTTGAAATAGCATGTTGAAATTTATCTTGACCTTCTTCTAAATCAATATCTACTCACTGTTTACAATGATTTTCCCATTCTATTACCATGTAACATCTCAGTTTAGTGGTTAGTATTCACCCTTCATATTTGGGATGTTCTGACTCTCAACCCAGAGACAGGCTTTCCTGAAATATTTTCCTCAGTCATTCCGTTAAAATACTGGGAAATCACCTTAAAATATTCAACATATGCATCCTAATTAATCATGCATAATCATCCTTCTATTCTACCCTATTTATACATGAATTGAGAAGCATCATTAAATAACCAAGAACCGCAGAATGTTCCATTTTGTCAGAGCTGTGCATGTTGCTTACTTCAGGCCATTCAGCGTTCAGAAAATTCCGTGCAGCAACCTGATTCTCCTGGTGGTAGACACGCTCTGTCCTTGTGGCAGCAAACAGCTGAGCATTACACCGCAGGAAGTGAGCTATGATTCAGTGCAGGGTATGGCAGTAACCACACAGTGTCGCATCAAACCACAGGAGATGATGTACAGGCGACGGCCACCTAAGTGCATGAACTACCACCCAGAGGTGAGTCTTCAGCTGTCTGCTGTGGATTAAGTATGGAATTAGCAATCTTTTTGCCAAACAGTGGGACATTATTTAATGTATGATCCTTACATTTGCAGTCCTTACAATCTGTCTCTCAAAGACCCAGAGTAATGTTATACTCGCATGTCTTTCTTAGTCTTCCAAGTTGCAATTTTCCAAGGTTTTCCCACAAAAATTATGTTTGCACTTCTTGCCTTTCCCATGCCTAGGCAATCATGGCCTCCGTGATTTTACTTTCGTAACAATACATGGATACTTGCATAAACCATGAAATTCTTCATTGTATTACTTTATAAATTGCCCTGTTATGCAGTCCTTCCTAGGAGCAAATACTTTCCTTAGCACTTTTGTTTTCAAATATTCGTCATTTACGTTGTTCTGTCAATGTACGAGACCAAGTTTTACAGGAATACAAAACAAAGTAAGGGAGCTGATGTAGCTCAGTCTGTTTAGTGTCTTCACTACAGACTGGACGACTGTAGAAACAATTTTCTTCTAGCCTCTGCCTCCAGATTGGCTCTTATGTCCACCTATTCTTCTAG